GGGATGATTTGATGCCCATTGGTTCCCTCTTTGAGTTGAGGCCATGGATCTGGATCCATAGAGGTCCAGAGAGCCTCACTCATCAAGCTTTATGAGTGACAATAGAGTCTTTGACCTTGTGTTGTAGTATTTGAGTCATAAACATCATATATGGTCATATAGAGGTTGTATGTGCATCAAGATTGTAACTTTACGTGCTAAATGAGCTTGGAGGGACTGGATCTATGGATTAATGAACTGGATCTGACCTTTAGAGCAAGATTGAGTCAGTGCATGGCATGGACTCGCCGAGTCCGAAGAACAGACTCGGCGAGTAGCATGAATGTTGCCCGACCACTCTGTGAGTGGCCTCGCCGAGTTGGGAAAGGTGAACTCAGTGAGTCAAGGGGGAGTCAGAATGGACAGGTGGACTGAGTTAACTGGACTCGCCGAGTTGTTCTTGAGACTCGGCGAGTTGAGTCGTGGTGGCCCCACAACTCGTGCCAGGTGGAACTCGTCGAGTTGAGGGAATGCTCGACGTGTCAAGGAGGATTCCAGGGAAATTGGTGTATGCGCCCAGACTCGCCGAGTCGCCTGGGTACTCGCCGAGTCCGGTCAAAGTTGACCGTTGACCGTTGACCAGCGTTGACCTAGATTGACTTGTTTCAGTGTGGTCAACCCTAGTTGGGAAAGTGTTAATTAGAGGTGTATTGTGCTATAGGGGGACGACAGCTCGACAGGTCGAGTGATTAGCGATTTCAGGTTTACGATTTACCGAGACACGCGAGGTGAGTCTTCTCACTATACTTTACCTTGAGTAGGTAATCAGAGTTATGTGATAGAGTATTTGTATGCTATGTATGTTATGTGTTGTACTGCATTACTTCTATGTGATTGATGCTGTGCATGTTTACAGAGTTAGAACCGAAAGGTTCACAGAGTTAGAACCTGAGGGTTCACAGAGTTTGGGTGCACGTACCCATAGAGTTATAGCCTCGAGTGGCTAATATGTGTTATATGTAGTATATTTGGGGAACTCACTAAGCCTTGTGCTTACAGTGTTGATGTTATTGTTTCAGGTACTAGTGACGACAGCGGGAAGGCGCCGGCTTGATCCGTACACACACACATTCGGAGCTTGATATCATGATCTTGGGATTTTGTATTGTCTTGTTCAGATAATTAAAATGGTTGTTTTATGAATATCAATGGAATTATGTTTTATAAAAATTGAAAAAAATTTGTTTTGAAAATTTTCGGTGTTACATTATGGTTGATGAAGATAACCTAATTCCGGATATTGAAGTAAACATGGAGAATTTTCACATAAGTATAGACACAGATGCAGAGTACTTAGGGAGTGAGTATAAGTTTCATGAGGGTAATGATGGTCAAGAAGAAGTAGAGGATATAGAGGTTATTAACAATGATGAATGGGATTCTATGGGTGAACACTCAGACAATGATAGGAAAAGAAGGGAAATCATCAAACAGTTAGGCAAGGAGAGAGTGTGTTCTCATGGTGAAGTGCACAAGGTGGCCTTCCACGTAGGATAGAAATATAACTAAAAAAAAGAACTAAAGGAAAAAATTGATAAGCATGCATTGGAGACTAGAAGAAATATTTGTTTTACAAAAAATGACAAACATAGGTTGACATCTGTTTGTAAGGGAACTGTGGTAGTCAATGCAAGTGGGGTTGATGGACCTACCACAAAAAAGGTAAAGGGTAAAGAAGTAATTGAAGAAAAGGCCAAGTGTACTTGGAGATTCCACGCATCTAGGGGAAATAATAATGTGTACTGGTTTGTAAAGACATATACTCGCAATCACATGTACCTTCAGTCTCGAAAAATCAAATCTTGCACTGCCACCTTCATTTCGAAACAAATTATGGATCAAACTCAATCAAATCCTGGAGTGCCAATTCGTGCAATTCAAGAGGAGATACAGAGGAAGTATGAGGTTAGTATTTTGGGTGACAAAGTTTTTAGGGCTAAAGGTCTCGCAACAAAAATGGTGGTCTGAGACTATACTAAACAATATGCAGTTTTAAGAGATTATGTGTTAGAGTTACAAGCAACAAATGTGGATTCAAGTGTAAAAATTCAAGTGGAGTCTGAGCCTAACTGTAACAACTCAACCAGACAAGTCAAAAGGATGTATGTGTGCTTAAGAGCTTTAAAGAAAGGGTTTAAGATTGGGATTAGGGATTTTCTGGGTTGATTGTGCCTTCATGAAAGGACAATTCCCAGGTCAGATTCTTACAGCTGTTGGGGTTGATTCCAACAATGGAATCTATCCCCTGGCATATGCAATTGTGGAGACTAAGAACACTGATAATTGGAAATGGTTTTTGGAATGTCCTGGAGATGACTTGGATATGCATGCTAACTTAAACTTCATGTTTATCAGTGACAGACAGAAGATACTTTTGTGGTTAACATATTTTGCTAGACAACTGACTTATACTGACATACTAATTTAGCTATTTACTTCATGTAAACAGGGTCTTATACCTGCTATTGCACACATATTTCCTTATGCTGAACATAGATAGTGTCTAAGGCATATCTATGAGAATATGAGAAAAGTATGGAGGACTACGGAGTACAAGGAACATTTGTGGAATTGTGCTAAAGCCACAACCATCCCGGAGTTTGAAACACTGATGAGAGAGTTCAGATCCTATGACGTGGAAGCGTATGAATAGCTTATGAAAATCCCTCCCCATCATTGGGATAGAAGCCATTTCTCAGGTAATTACTTATTTGTATAATTTTATATATTTTCATTATTTCCCATTGATTTTACTTACCAACATGTACTATATAATAACAGGTAGAGCAATGTCAGATATGTTGTTAAATAATTTGTGTGAAGTTTTCAACAGTAAGCTCGTAAAAGGGAGGGATAAACCAATAATAACCTGTTTGGAGTTTATAAGGGAATATCTTATGAAAAGAGTATGTAATGTGATGAAGGTGATAAACAAGTGAACAGGTCCACTCACACCTACTTGTGAAAGGTTGTTACAGGCAAACATATCAAGTGCTTCATAATACACTGCAAGATGGAATGGAGTGAGTAAGTACCATGTTAAAGGGCCATGGCATGATCAACATGTTGTGGACATAGGTCAGATGACTTGCAGCTGCATGAAATAGGAGTTGACAGGCATGCCCTGCAAGCATGCAATTGCAACAATCAATGAAATGGCAGACAATGGTGAGAAAGTAGGAGACCTGTACACATATGTGCATAAGGTGTATTGGTTAGAAACATGGAAAATCATGTACTCTTTCACAGTCGACCCTATCAAAGGAAGGAGCACATGGCCTAAGAGTGATTGTCCAACAACCCTTACCCCTCCACTACACCACAAGCAGCCAGGAAGACCAAAAAAGAAAAGGAGGCAGACTGCTTATGAGAAGAGTGTAAGCCAAGTCAGAAAGAGAACCCACAACAAGGTCAATGTAAAAGTCAGAAGCTAACTAGGAAATTTGTGAGTGTGACATGTAGTAAGTGTAAGAACAAGGGTTATGCAATAGCTATGTAATTTTAGTACAGCTTAATGGTAATGTTTGGTTTTTGTTTTGTTAAAGTAGCTTTTGGTAATGTACTTTCTGGTATTTTGTTATGGTTAACATCATAGTCAATATTTAACATTTTCACCATTACACCAGACACTATTATCATAACCATTTCAACTGAGACAATTTATAACAAAAACTACTAAGACAATTTATAACAAAAACTAACACTTTCATTAAAACAAGTTACCATTGATAACCAAAAACTAACACTTTCAGCTTACAATTTACCACAAAACTAACACTTTTAGCTTACAAAAACCAACACCAAAACACAACATTACAACAATCTTCCAAAAACTACACCCTAGCATGTAAGCCTTAATTCCTAAAGTAGATAACCAAAAGAAGCAGAACCCAGCTTATAACCAAATACATCTTGAATTTTGTTGAATCACGTTGCATATTCCCCAAATCCAGCTCATTCATGTTGATTGTTTTCAGCAATCCTGGTATTATAGTTGTTGATCTTGACACACCGCGGGGGGGGGGGGGGGGGGGGGGGGAGTCAACCCACCTAATAAATCCACATTTTGAATCCTACAATTATACAGAAAAATGGATGGATTATTAAATCAAAATCGTTGACCTAATTTTGCACATTGTTACCTGTTTAGGCCATGCAAAGAAACGACGACCTGAGTTTAAATTTGTCCAGGAGGTTCGCACAACATCTCTTCCACAAAAACACAGTTGTTGCATCATTGTGAGTGAACAAAGAAATCGATCAACCAAGAAAGAGTAAGAGAGAAAGATACGTTGTCTCAATGAAGATGAAAGAGAAGAGAGACGTTGTGGGTTGGGTCTTAAAGGAGTTTTCAAACCATAGGGACCAATACAAATGAAAAGACGAAATTATCCTCATATGGAGGGCACATGCTACACTAAATGGAAGGAAATAGACGGGAGTTAAGTTCAAGGACCAAAACCACAAGAAATTTCATGTTTTGGACCAACCATGCAACTTGAAAACATTTTGGACCTTATCCACAATTTTATAACCACAGGGACGAAAAATGCAGTTTTGTTTAAAAACTAATCACAAACACCCCCTTATTTTCTTCAAATTTAGCATTTTACCATTCCAATTTATTAAGGTAAATTACTTGATTTTAGTGATTATCACTTGTTTTTAATCACATGATAGGGCAATGATTATCACTTGTTTTTAATTGTTTTACTGTCCTAAATTATAACCGTGCTGCAAAAATGATCCTTGATTGTAATATTAAAGGCATTAAATAATAGTTTTCTTCTCATTGCATGTGTAAACAATTATGGTCTTGCTTTCATTTTACCTTTTACATCCTTATGCTCAATGCAAGGATAAATGAAAGATTATAACTGACCCGAAATGGAATATAACAAATAGACAAAAAATTGAGCAACACGAATCTCAGCAACAATTCAAGAAGCAATATCCATAGCTCATGGATTACCATCAAAATCAAAATCAAGACCTACAACCCCGTAGCAATATCCCAAACCTACACCACACTGGAGAGATTATCAGTTATTTGTTATCTGTTATCTGTTATCTACCTGGTTTTGAGTAACCAAAATATGTATCTCGAGCAAAATGATTTTAAGAGATCACTTGATTTATCCCCTACCCTTGACTCCAAGCCCGGACCTTATATTTGCCCCAAGTTCCATGGCATCCTTCACCTACATTATCAAAACCAATTTCTTTTTTACTTAATACAAATACAACGGCTTAACAGAAATAAATAATCAGATATAGATTTAGCAAGAACTTTAATCCCCATGCTTATAAATACTAGTAAGTTACAATTCATATAAATTCCTATCAAGAGCTTTTCATAATTCATTATTCATACTGCAAGCATATTTTCGATAAGAATCAATCCGTGGACACAAACACAGAGAAGAAAGGTAAGACCAAATTACAGTTCTATGTTTTCAATTGCAGGGTTCAATTTGATTTCAATGTTGACGTTTATACATATGCATCATCAAGAAATTTACTGAAGAAATGAAATCAGATGATCATGTATAATGATTCAAATTGCCTCAGAAATCTGACCTAATTCAGTTATGAATTTCATAGAGAATCAAAATGCTCTGATTCATTTTTTTAAATTATACTCATATTATCTTTCATACCTACAAATTGGGCGAAACTATGACCTAAAACCTACCAATTATTTTGCAAAAGATCTTACGATTCACCGTAATTGAAGAGAAGAAGGTGTACCGAGTGGATGCCGGAGGCACTAAAGGTTCCGACAGTGGCGGTTGCTGTGGCGCCGACGAAGAGAGAAGCTACGCCAAAAGCTTTGAGGGGCATGAGTCGTGAGTCGCCGGAGTAGCCTTTGCGGAAGGAGTATATGCCCCAAGCAACTTGGACGCCGCTGGCGGCGACCCACCACCAGTAGCCACTTGATCCACCACCGGTGTTACTGTTAGTCCCTTTCTCCATTTCCTTGCCGCGGATCTTGGCAAGTAAATTACAGAGTGCAACTTTCTTTTTGTTTGAGGTTTTTGTGATACCAATGTTGGCAAACGACATACAACAAGGGACTAAACTAAAAATGATACGACTCCAAGGACTGAATATATCGTTTCTCAAAAGATAAGGGTAGCAAGAAACCACCGGTACAAATTTGATGGGCTTTACTTACACTTCGGTTACTTCATATGTGATTGTTTATGATGAAATTGCAGTCACGTCTACACTAACACTGGATCGTGTTTATTTATCGCCTTTAAATTAAATTTCGTTCTAATTATCTTTTGTATGAAATTAGTTAAAGAATAATCCAAAAACAGATAAAAACTTTGGAAATTTGACACAAAATTATAAATCTGTATTAGATTCGCATTAACTTTTTGTAAGTATCCAGAAAAAAAAAATTGGTATTAATTGTGTATATATGCCAATGGTTACCCTCAACTAATAAATAAGAGGGAAATAACAGTTTTGAGCCGGTTAGAAATAGTTTTGTATACGGATGGTAATGGGTACGGGTATACCGGGTTTCGTGTTCCCCATCTCCATATCCGAATCCCCATCCCCATACCCGACCCATTACCATCGGGGATTAAAAATCTATCCCCATCCCCATCCCCACTGGGTATCGGGGATCCCCAATGAGTAATCGGTGAATTTTCTCCGTTACAAAGTTTTGAACTTTTATGAAAAAATAACTCATAATTATATATTAACCAACAAAACAAAAACTAACATAACTAATATAAACCACTATAATCATTGAATGTCTTCAAACACGAACAATAACATTCAAGATTACAAATAAAATAATTTTTTGCAAAAAAAGACATAAAAAGTCTTCTCAAAACTATTCGTTTGATTGTTAAAAAACCTTACTTTGTCTATTGAAAATTTGCTTATGCATTATTAAAAATAAAAACATAAGTAATATTATATATATATATATATATATATATATATATATATATATATATATATATATATATCTTTACTACTTATAAAAGAAATCTAACTATTTCTATAAATAGATTGAATATAATAATATTATTTTTTTAAGACGTACAAACGATTAAGCTAATATTACAAACAACCATTAATAAAATAATATTAAATTTTAAATTTGTTTTGATTCCTTATATTTCTCAGCAAAATCCTAATTTCATGGTCATTCAAAATTTAAAACCTTTTCATCCTAATACGCTTCAACAAATATCCTTTAAATGTTGCATTTGCAGCTGATTAAAATATCTCATAGCAGACGTGTGTTTGTTCTCTCCACCTTATAAACCCTGCTATAAATCCCATTGCCATGAAGTATTTCCCTTATAAACCCTAATCGTTTTTCTCCCTCTCTTAGACGAAGACAATGTGCTTTTTTTAAGAAAAAAAGTTTGAAAATATTCCAATTTCTCAAAAAAATTTACCCCAAATGCGAAACTGGGTAAAATTTTCCATTTTGCGAAGACTACAGGGATGCGAAATGAAAATTCTGCACTTTTGTCTTTTTATGACCCCATTTTGCGAAGTTGGACCACTTATATTATTTCTTGAAAAGATCAGGTGCCAAATGCGAAACTCTAAGCTTTCTTCCCCAATTCGCATTTATACATTAAAAACTTCGCATTTTCATTCAAATTCTTCGCATCTTGCATCCATCCGTCTTTGAGTTCATTCGCATTTCATCGCATTAACTGAGAAATTAATCAGTTGTCTCATATTCGCATTTCAGTTGTTTGAGAAACCCAGATACGAACCCAAATGCGAAACCCACTGATTTCAAATGCGAACCAACCAAAAATCATCAACCACGTACTTGTGTCACCAAATGCGAACTGAATATCACCATTAAATTCTCCTCGCATTCTATAGATGCGAACACAATCCAGATCTCCGACTCCAAGCTTGCGAAATCAAAATCAATTAACCTCAAACAAATCGTGAACTTCTTATGCGAACTGTTTTGACCCACAAAACCAAATGCGAACTCAATTGATGTCATATGCGAACTGATTTCATAGATGCGAACACAATTGATTTCATATGCGAATCCACATCCATCGATATGAAACCAATACCAGTTACAAGCAATTAGTAGCAACCATCGATCCTCTAATGAGGAAACAGTTTCCTATTCGATTGTGCTTTGCAATGACAATCAATAAAGCTCAGGGACAAACAATTCCATATGTAGGTATCTATCTTCCAGAACCAGTATTCTCGCATGGACAACTTTATGTTGCATTGTCCAGAGGGGTTTCACGTTGCAATACAAAAGTATTAGTAAAGCCTAACGAAAATTCAAAAGGTGATGGGGTTTATACAGCAAATGTGGTGTATAAAGAAGTATTGCACGATTAATATTTTGTGTCGTCTTGACTGGTTGCTTTTTATTGGTTATTTGATGCATGATGTAACAAATAACACCATAGTTTGATTATATTGTCTTCAACATGTACTTTTTTTTAACATAACAATTTTGTAATGGAAACATATCACCGAAAGAACTCACGTGCCCCGCCGCTTTGCGCGGGTAGACGGCTATATATATATATATATATATATATATATATATATATATATATATATATATATATATATATATATATATATATATATATATATATATACTAGTTTATAACCCGTGGGAACCACGGTTAGAAAATTAATTAAACTTTCTAAATAAAAACTCAAAACTATTAATTAATACTTTAAAATAACTTATTAATTAAAAGATATTTTTTTAGTTATATATAAAATTATAATCGTTGATTCAAATAAATACGTAAAATATATAATCTTATAGATAAATTTTATTTTATTAAAATCTGTATAAATTTTATTTAATTTTTATTTTAATATTATTAATTTAATATAATTAAAATGTGATTTAAATTTTAAAATTTGAAATTTGAATACCCATCGGGGCCGGTTTCGGGTACGGGTATGGGTACTCGACAGGTAGAACAATCCCCATCCCCATCCCCGCTTTTTATATTCGGGTAATATCCATCCCCGGTCAACTCGGGGATTTACCCTGTCAACTCGGGTTAGGGTTTCGGGTACCCATTGGGTACATGTGTTTTTGTCAGCTCTAGTTTTATACGGTCACACCTGGGGAAGAGAGAGTGGTTTTTAAGTTCCCGAGCTCTACCTCTCCCAAACCCATCCCCCTTCATTGCTGACGAGAGATGGTAAAAAAATGGCATGGCAGGCTCCACACTAAACCTGGGCATGCCGAGGTGATGTTAGAAAATAGGGGATGAATAGATTGCTTGGATTCTCTGAAAATCGTGATTCACTATCAAATTGAAGTATTTCGATGGTAAATATCGAACACCCGATTGGATGAAATTCAGAGAATGAAATCTGAGAATGTATATAAAATGTTCTTCAAGATGTACCAGAAAAATGACTAAAAAACGGATATATCATTCATGTCTGAGAACTATCAATAGACAGTTACAATCTGGGGATATCTCCAGAAAAGTCCCGATATTTTTGGCAAATTTTTAATAAAGTCCTAAATTTTATTTTTTGAATAAAAAAGTTCTGACTTTTTCATATTTTGAATAGAAAAGCCCAAGAAACCGGCTAATTTATTCACTTTAGCCCTTTTTGACCTGTTCAGCAGGTTATGAGACCAAATTGTTAATTTTTCAAAAATAACGAGACTTTTTTGCAGATTTCGTCAAAATTTTTATATAATGCATAAACATATTTTTTTTAAATATCTATATCAATTTTTACGTATTTGTGTATTTTTTATGTTTTTATATGTATACATTTACGTATTTTTATGTTTTTTAAATATATAAACATATTTTTTACTTATTTATATGTATTTTAGATATTTTACATTTTTTTATGTATTTGTATGTTTAATTTTTTATGTATTATGTATTTTTTTTACATATTTATGTATTTTTAAGCTTTTTATATAGATGTTTATGTATTTTAAATGTATCAACGTATTTTTTTACGTATTTACATCTATTTTTAAGTATTTTACATATTTTTTTATGTATTACGTATTTATGTATTCCTTTAAGTGTTTTATATAGATGTTATTATATATATTTATGTATTTTAAATGTATAAACGTATTGTTTTAAGTATTTATATGTATTTTTTTTAAACTATTTTACATATTTTTTGTGTTTTTTTATGTATTATGTATTTATATGTATTTTTGCGTATTTATGTATTCTTTTAGTTTTCTTATATAGATGTTTATGTATTTTTAGGTATATTAAATGTTTAATTGTATTATTTTTACATAAAAATAATACACTTTAACATTTAATGTACATAAAAATACATAAACATCTATATAAGAAAACCAAAAAAATACATAAATACGCAAATATATATATAAATATATAATACATAAAAATACACAAAAAAATATGTAAAGTACTTAAAAAATACATATAAATACGTAAAACAATGCGTTTATACATTTAAAATACATAAATATACAAAAACATCTATATAAAAAACTTTAAAAAAATATATAAATACATAATACATAAAAGATTTGTAAAATACTTAAAAATAGATATAAATACGTAAAAAATACGTTTATACACTTAAAATAGATAAACATCTATATAAAAAGCTTTAAAAATACATAAATACGTAAAAATATATAAAAATACATATAAATGTTATAAAATATGATCAAATAACAATATAAATTATAGAGTAAAGAAAGATATGAGAGTAGAGAGTACTTTTATTCCAATACTTGTGATGAATTCATATAGTGCCTAATACATATGGCTCACTATTTATACTATCCAAATAAGATGAAAGATGAGCTACAATATGAATGCACATTATGATGGTGTATTATTACATTCATAAAACACATTGAAATGGTTGTTACTAATGCTAAATAATGATGGAGAGTTATGGGAGAAATGGAGAATCCAATGGTCATTCACAAACTAATATTTCATAACACTCCCCCTTGAATGACGATTGTATCATGCCTCGTTAAAACCTTAATAGGTAAAACCTCATGGGAAAAACCATTTATTAAGGAAAAAGAGTACATGATTAATAATAGATATTTGGAA